GGAGGTAAGATGTTAAATGAGTCCAGGTAATTTTTGATTTGAGAGTTTATCAGTTTTTCTAGAACCTTGGCTAAAATGCAGAGTTTAGAGATTGGTCGATAGTTGTTCAGTGAGGTGGGGTCTCCTCCTTTCAGCAAAGGAAGAACAAAGGCTGTTTTCCAAGTGTCTGGGATGGAGTTTTGTCTTATGGAGAGATTGAAGATGTGGGTCACAGGGACTGTGACCCACATCAAGTATGACTCTGAGTATGACCCCAACAAGTATGACTTGTATGGAAGGGATGCCAGGAGAAAACTGTTACAATGACATGGCTGCACGGCTCGACTGAATCAATGTTGTACAGAAACTGATCAAGTCATTCAGAAAAGAACGACTTCAAGGTGTTGTTGTTAAATATGGTTCATCAAGCTACTGAGTCATAGAGAAACATGAATTAGAAACACAAATATGAATACGAACACGAGTTTTCCTGCAGATTTTAATGGAAATAAATTAATAAATTAACTGTAGCTCTGTATTATGGTGTGAGCACCAACTGTTGAGAATTCAACGGAGCTCAGATGAAGTTCTGTACACAGAAGAAAGAAAAGAACAAAACACCAGCAACAAGAATCCTTGAGCTCCAGGAGAAGAATTTGAAAATTTCATGCATCTTTCTGGGGAGGCGATGAATCATCTAGCACAGTATTTAAAATTAGAATTACTGCAAATTTGTGATAGCAATTTGTTAAAAAATTTGAACATGAATAAAACAAACAACAACAAAAAAAAACCATTAAAAAAAACTTCTAAAATCTCTGAAAATGTTGATACATTTCGTTTCAAGTTTTCTAAAGTTTAAGCCAATTTTTTGGGGGCAGTTTAATTAAAACAGAGGAAATCTTAGATTAATAAACACACGTCTTAATATCTCGCCCAGAGCTGTCTAATTTTTTATTAGAGGGCAGGACAGACTTAAAAAAAAAAAAAATCAAACTGCTAAACTCTTGAACACTTTCTGTCAGAGGATTTCTTTTACGGGAGCAAAGAGCTCTGCAGGGCAAGTCACCGTGGAGCTGCCATGACATTTAAATGTCATTCATAATGCCAGTAAAATTACCCCCAGAGGCTCTGAGGTGTTGAGACCTCACCGCACCTGCACTTCATTACAGGACACAAAATGAGCTCCAGTTATGTAAAATCAGCAAAAATAAAAATAAATACAGTAGTCCCTTGTTTATCACAGGGGCTTCCGTTCTCAGTCCCCCGCGATACGTGAAAAACCACGAAGTAGGAATAGTATTACAAGTAGTAAGTAGATTATTTTAGTGTGTGTGTATATATATATATATATATATATGTTTCTAGATGTTTCTAAACTCTAAATGCTCTAAAAGAGCACAGCATGTCATGATCTCTGCTCTCTCTGCCACCTGACAGTGCTCTTGGCCACGCCCACTTTGCTGCAGAGCGGAGATACAACGCTGCAGGTGGGAGCTTCTCCTGCAGTGTGGGCTGCACACAGGTACAGCAGGTACTAAATAATTTATTTTAAATAAAAATTCCATGCCGTACGGCTCATCCATCAATCAGCCATGATCAGTGTGTCACGTCAAGTCTTACTTTGAAAAACCGCGATAGAGCGAGTCTGCGAAAGTCGAACTGTGAAGTAGCGAGGGACTTCTGTTCTGTATATAATTTTTTCTCCCTGATTTTGCTGTTTAGATTTATTTTTCAATGATAAGTGGCTATAATCAGACTTTGTAGATGATTTGTTGCCAGTGTAGTTTTTCCCTATCACACCAAAATGGGCTTTGGTTCAATGTAAGTAAACAGGTTTTGTAAGAAATAATAGAAGGTAAAAATAAAGTTTTAAACCACTTGTAACCATCTGACAACAACTGATCTTTTAATGTAGTTAAGTTTGTTTTTAACTGCGCACTGTCTGTTGCCACCAGATGTTGAGCCATCAGGCAAAAGCTGCAAGCAGCTGTTTTAAGTAAACCCAAAACAGGTTCATTATCCAGTGGCTGAACAGAGAAATGCCAACTGGCATTGTAAAGAGCATTACCACACTGCTGCTTAAAACTGCATATAAACTGTACTTGTAATTTAAAGACATTAATTTAGAGTTTTATTGTGATAAACTTGTGATTTGCTCAGATCAGACTGTTAAAAATATTTTATATACAGTCCAAGTCACAGATAAACTTTCAACATGAACTTCTGCGAAAAATTAAAAGTAAGCGAGTCAAAAACATACGGAAGACATTTAATGTAACCTAATGACATGACTTTATGGTGCCTTTCTTGCTGTAAAAAAAACCAACAAGTTTGTAGCGACCGTATTTTTCACCCTACAAGTCGCTTATTATTTTGCATAATTTACATGCCCTGCGACTTATAGGCCGAAGCGACGTATTTATGGATTTTTGCCCTCATATTTATAAACCAATTTTTGGCTGAGATATGACTGTTTTCATTCATTCCGACTGAAAAAAATTGAACACTACCATTTTTAGCCACTAGATGGCAGTCAAGCAGAATCGCAGCCCCCTCCACTTTAAGAAGCCCAGACTAACGGTGCATTGCTTTTTTACATTTCATTTTAAATATAAAATCCTGCACTCATCACTGTACTCTATGATTTAGTTGGTTGGACATCACATCTAAAAAACACAACTGGGTAAAATTCCAAAATACCTCAGTACACTACTTTCAATCAGCTCTAGTATCCATGCAACTCCAAGTGGTTGTTACTGAATGTGTCCAAGACTTTGACGGATCTTTAAGTGTTGTCCTACAGTGCATTGTGGTTTTAAAATAAAGTTCAAACCGTTTTTAAAATACTAAATTTGTAATATTTGAATCTATATCTAATATTTGTTTATTGGGCATGCATCAGAATATTTGTATCCACTGGTGATTTAAAGTAAAATATTGCAGAATTCAGGGAGGGAGGAATGTCTTTGCTTGTCTTGAGAGCTTATACCAAACTAAACGTGACCGTTTTATTGCTCTTTGTGTTTTATGGGATTTACCCATCTAAATAAAGGTTGAATGAATTTTATTTTTGATGGCTGCTACCTCCACCATGTCTCCTTTGTAAAAGAGATCTCTGAACTCAGTAGGACTTCCTGGTTGAGTACAGGTAAAATAAATAAAATAGTAGAGAAACCTAAAAGTAAAGCTCCAGTTTGGATGTAATAATAATAATAACAATAATAATAATAATAATTTTTATATCATGCAATACTATGTAAAGTACATGTAACAAGATCTCTTACAACCAGTCAAAAATCAGATTTAGTCATTTTCAGCTAGAGATAAGAAAAATATAGTTAGTAAATAAGTCAAATGGAGACTTATAATCACTTCAGAAAATAAGAAACAAATAAAACATTCATTCAACCTTTATTTAGACAGGTAAATCCCATCCCAATCCCCAAAACATTGTTGCCTTTTTTGTATACCAGCCTGCAACGTGCACATGTATCCGTTTTACAATAGTAAAACTATTCACAAAGTTAGCATAACTTTAACCAATTTCTTTGTCTTCTCTTGTGTCCAAAACAACTTTATACGTAGGTTAACTGATGCTGACTTACTAGACTGCACTGAAAGTATGAGGAGTTCCAATTACAACAAGTCTGATCAATATTTATTATCTATCACCGATTATCAGACAACATCCTGATTCTAAGTGAATCCCATTTAACTATGTTATATACTAGTTTATGGATGTTTTTAACTACTATGGCTGAGAATGTTAACTCTGCCCATGAACCATATGTTGAGTTAGCAGACAGAGCTGGATGAGGAGCTGATTTGAGGCTGCAGGTTATGAAGTGATAAGAGTATATAAACAAGCTTCACACACTGCCCGTGGCAGATTCTCATGACTGGGCTTCGTGCATGTATTTCCTGTATATCTGTGTAAGCTGTCCTGAAAATCTGTCCTTGCAAGTAAAAACTGGTTACAAATCTTCTCCAGTCGAGTGTGGCTCCTTTGAGTAAGTGAGATAAAGCAAGAACATTTTTATCCAACATTTTGTTCACGCGTGTGGAAAGAATGGAGCATGAGATCAACAGAAGAATGGGTGCAGCGTCTGCAGTATTGTGGACTTTGTGCCGGTCCATTGTGGTGGCGAGGGAGCTGAGCTACAAGGTGAAGCTCTCTGTTTATCGGTCGGTCTACGTTCCTACTCTCACCTACGGTCACAAACAGGTTAGTGACTGAAAGAATGAGATCACAGACACAAGCAGTGAACATGAGTTTTCTCCACAGGGTCGCTGGACTCCCATCAGAGACAGGGTGAGAAGTTCAGTTATCTGGGAGAGACTCAGAGTACAGCTGCTGCTCTTCCACATCAAGAGGAGCCCGTGTAACAGTTGGGGCATCTGGTCACCACCCTCCATTTTTTCCGACTCTCACAACTCAGTTTATAATCAGCATCACATGTCGACGTGTCTTTGCAAATTTTGAGGATAAAGTGATTCATAAATTATTAGTAAGAGCATCTTCTTCTCCACCTAAAGATAGTAGAAAATAAAAGTGCACTGAATGAAACGAGCTGGTACGAGGAAAAAAAGCTTGTCAGTCTTTGTAAGTATCACTTTTGCTGCTTCAGCAAGTTGCTCATAATTAAGTCTGAGTCACTGTTTGGCAACTATACCTCATCTAAAAGTAGAAGTGAAGATGCATTGTGGGTAGTATAACGTTTGTGGTCACTTTGATCCTTAAAATTGGGTGTAATTAAAAAATGTATGAACGGAGGAAAGGAAAAAGCACACTTACAGGAAGGTCAGCATAAAAGTAGTGCTTCCTGTCAAAAAGTGACTTCTTATTGATGGTACAGCTAAGAGCCAGTCCCGTCATCACTGCTGCTTCAACGCACCACCTGTTTAAGACCTGGGAACACATGCGAACATATTCTGATCATCTCACAAGAAAACAGTTTATCTTGTAAAATAAAGGATTAGCTTTGCTATAGTTCAGTAGATTACCACTGACAGGTAGTGTGCCAGGTAAAGACGCATCCAAAAATGAAACCAGGGAGTTTGGAGGAGCTGAGAAGCAAACTGGAGAGCCAGAGAACAGCTTGGTCTTGGACTTAATCTGGGCGTGAATTTCCAAACCAACCACTCCAACCAACTGCTGCGAAGCACTAAGGCACAAAAATAACAAACAAACAAACAAACAAAATCAACATTAAATACCACCAAGTAGAATACATATTAAAACTGAAAAAAAAGTGAGAAGAATGCATAAAAAAAAAATGTAAAGTGTAACATATCATGCCAAGCCAATGTGAAATTTGGGCCCATAATTAAACAACAAGCTACATAATTTAAATGACTATTTATCTAAAGTTTAAGAAAGCAACCATAAATAAATCCACCAATTAGTTCTAAGCACTCGTTATTGGTGCCAAATAGCTCTGACCAATCAGAGAAACTGAGAATATCCTAGAATGCTCTGGGAAATTTAAGTATTTGATTTTAGCAGTAGATTCTATTTTTTTAGTCTAGTTTACTACATGGATGGAGTCTTTGAGAAATAGGATTGCTTCTCAAGGATGACCTCATGTCTTTTATTGGTTCAGTCAGGCTGATGTTTCATGAAGAAGACCATAAGTTTGAGGAAAGTGCACATTTTGGTTTTCACAAAGTTTGCAACTTCAGTTTTTTTTAGAACCTTTTGTCAGATGTTTATATGGTACAATGAAATACAATTAAAAGCATTCCATACATTTTCCAATACTTTGCATTGCCAAAACCATCCAGTTGACCCTTCTTAAGCCTTCTACAATTTGTCTCGACATGCTGGATATCAGCTTCTGGGTGAAATCTTGAGTGATGGCAAACCATTGCTGACTAATCAGAGTCTAGAGTTTATCAGAGCTTCTGGGTTTCTGTTTGTCCACACTCTTTTTGAGGCTTGACAACATGTTCTCAATAGGAATTAGATCTGGGGAGTCTTCTGGCCATGGACCCAATATTTCAATGTTTTGTTCACCGAGCCACTTTGTTGTCACTTTTGCCTTGTGACATGGTGTTACATCATGCTGCAAAAAACAATGCTCATCTCCAAAATTGCTCCTGGATTGTTGGGAGAAGTTTCTCTTGGAGGATGTTTTGATATTGTTCCTTATTCATGGCAGTGTTCTTAGGAAAAACTAGAGTTAATATAAGTTGCCACCATAAAAACTGAGGCAAAAAACTTTGTGAAAACCAAAATCTGTGCCGTTCTCAAAACTTTTGGAAACGACTGTATGTTCCGTGGATGTTTGGTCCAATTGTTACAATATTAATTTTTTTGAATAACACAATGATAATGCTGAAGAATAGCGTAAGCTTGTGAATGTTTAATAACCAGCGTTTAGAAGATATTACAAGACAGACTCAACTTGGATTTAAAAACAATATAGTAGACGGGCGGTTCCAAAGATGAATCCCCTATAAGCCTGCCTTGTCAACATAATGAGCAGGTTTTTAACGTTCACATGGAGAAATTAAAATAACAATAATAAAATACCCACATGAAGTCTGTAAAAAAAATGTAGAGGTCTTTTTAGCCATGACATTTTCTGAAAGATCAACTTGGTTTCCTCCAAAATCTCAAAAGACAGTAGTTCAATATTCTCCAATTCAAGGAGGATGTTTTTAATTAAAACTATGGTTCAACGAAGCAGTAACATGTAGGAGTTTACAGCAGGTGGAAGGAGTCCTCAGTGTGTGAGCCTCATTCATCAATGCTTTCAAAAAACACAAAATGCACGAAAAGAGAATTTAGATGTCAAATGCAAAGTCTGGCTTGAATATCTTTTCCTCCTCGATTGCATGTTTATGTGTCCATTGCATCACTATCACCTAAGTACACCATTTTCAACTTAGCTAGTAAACATTCAGGTCAAATAAACGCAAATTTTTTTTTTTAAATGGAGGCTTCTGCCTTACCTTCTGCTTCTCTGCTCATGTTCTTTGTCGCATCGTAAATGTGAAGTGCTAATTCGACGAACTAAATAACAAGTCTTAGGAAAAAACACCGGTATTAGTTTTATGTTTTGAAACAACTCGCTTGCAACCACACAGGAGGCAGCCATGTCGTCCGTTTGATCTTTATATAAATGTGGGAATTGTAGTTTTTATAGTGACGTTTAATGGGCGCGACTGCGGCTGTGTTTACCGTCCAAAACTACAAAACCCGTCAGTTTAAAGGTACGCGTCTTTTCAACGCGTCACTTCCGTTTTACCCACTGGCGGGATTTCCTCACACGATAAAAACAGCGACAGGATTTTGTTTGTGCGCGAGAAAACGCGGATAAACTGCCTCACATGATGGCAACAGTCGGGAAGGAATCACGTGAAGCAAAAGACGTTTGTGTGAACGGAGCAGCCTCGGAGACACAGGCCCAGACTGACAGCGTCACCGTCCGGCCGCAGCGGTTCGCCTTCAGCCCCGGGCCCAGCATGGAAGATCTCCGCAGGATGCAGGCCGAGTTCACGGACGAGCGGGACTGGAACCAGTTTCACCAGCCCCGCAATTTGCTCCTGGCCATGGTGGGAGAGGTGGGTGAGGTGTCCGAGCTCTTCCAGTGGAAGGGGGAGGTGGCGGAAGGACTACCGGACTGGACCGAGTCCGAGCGCGAGCAGCTGGCGCACGAGCTGAGCGACGTCCTGATTTACCTGCTGGAGCTGTCCGAGAAGTGTCGCGTGGACCTTCCCCAAGCCGTGCTGCGTAAAATGGCCCTGAACCGACTGAAGTATCCTGCGAGTAGAGTGCACGGCTCGGCCAAGAAGTACACGGAGTACAAGGACTGAGCCATGGGGGACACCTTTTTTTGTTGTTATTGTTGCATTTTCCTCTGGACCTGCACTGCTGCAGAATATCTTGTATAAAGACATTCTTTGGGTCAACTTTTTTATCTAATCAAAAATGTTAAGGGATTCTTTCTAATATTTCCCAGATTTGAAACGGGGAATAAAATATTTGGAGGAAAAACATTTCCAGTGTGATTTTGTACGAGTTTTGAGGTTTATTTAGAGGATAAATCTGCATGAGCATGTCATGTTTTCAGTTTAGCTCCAGTACAGATGTGACTGATGGTCAGTGTGGATTTAAATGTTCAGTCTTTAGTCAAAATGACACACGGGTCAATTTATTCAAACTGTTTTTCACCAGATTAAAATGTTTTCTTCTGATCATGACTTGCGTACTGTTTTCAGGAGTGTGTATTTTCTCACCAGTTGGTTTAACACGCCTGTGTGATTTGACATGTACAGTGCATACAGAAAGCATCAGCGCTTCACTTTTTTTATGTTACAGCCATTTTCCAAATTGTATTAAAATAGTGTCTCCTCAAAATTCTTATGGCGATGTGAAAAAATATGTTTTAAATAAAAATTTTAAATGACTAATTTATTAAACTTGAAATACAAAATCAAAGCGCTGACATGGCAGCGTAAACTTAAAAAAAAAATCAAAGATTACAAAGTTTTGTAAACTTTCTAAGAGATGCAGGTTTTAGGTTGCAGCATAATGACAGCATTTCCATCTAAGTTTACACAGTAATACAATACTAGTACTTAGACTACCTTTTCAAACTTTTGCTTAATTTGTATAAATATCATTTAGCATAATTTAATGTTTTTAAGTTGGGGATAAGTAATAATGTATAACACCACTGATGTTTTCTAATTATAACAGCTCTGTCCCTCTGTGGCTCTGTAGGTAAAAACCAAGTTTCTTTAAAAAGAAGTGACTGAATGAAACAAGTTTTAGTGTCAGATCTTCATACTTGCCTATGATTTCTAAAAGTGGATAAAGTTATTGGTTTATTTTCTATTAAAGTCATCCTGTCCAATCAATCAATCTGTAATGTTGCTAGTAAGATTCTTGTTAGTCTAACAAATATCAACTCAGTCGTTAAGTATTATAATCCATATGCAATCATTTGAGTTCAAATTTGAGCTAAAAATACTAAGTATAAGTATATCAAGTATACTACACACCATGTACTGGTAGTGTACTAGAAAGTATACTGATTTAATACTTGTTGGGACTAAATTGGGACATTTTTAGTTTATAAAAAGTATACTTCAAGTATACAGTTGTAAGGTCTTTTTTAGGTTTACCAACATTCAAGTACACTCATCTATATACTACTAGTGTACTACATATATACTTGTGGGTCACATTTTAGTTTGTTGAAGTTCGTTTAAAGTATACCACAAATATACTTTTCTCTATACTGCCATTGCACTAGTTATATACTTCTAGTCCACATTTCAGTTTATTTCTGTGTGCTCTAAGTACACTTTTATGAAGAAAGAGAAATAAAGAGTAATAAAAATAATAAAGAAAATATAATAAAAATAATAACGAAATAAAGAGTAGCATATACTAAAGTACAAGCATAAGTTTTAGTATTAAAGTATACGTTTATGGTAAAGCTTAGTATTAATGTACTTAGTCTTAAACTTCTCCATCCATCCATCCATCCATCCATCCATCCATCTATTATCTTTACCCGTTTATTCCATTTTGGGTCACGGGGGTCGCTGGTGCCCATGTCCAGCAATCACTGTGCGAGGGGCGGGGTACACCCTGGACGGGTCGCAAGTCCATCACAAGGCGTCTTAGACTTCTCTTTATACTTTTCAGTATTAGCCAAGTATACTTCATTATACAATTTTTAAGTATATCAAATAAAGTTGATAAAAAGTAAACTTCAAGTACACTTCCTCATTTTTAGTGTAAAATAAGTATACTCATTGTACACTTAAATAAACTACTTTTTGCTACCTTTTGTAATGTTTCACACTTTTTTGTCTTGGGAGTTTTTATTTTTATTGTTTTATTATTAGATCAGTGTTGTAGAACGCTTGTGACACGAGTGGCTGATAGTTTATTTTTCTGAAGGACTTTTGACTACCTGTCAGACAGACGATGTGATTTTACTTTCTGTCAGTACTGGAAAAATAACACAGTTTTTACGTCCGCTGCTTCTTCATTTCTGCCAATGGTGCTTGCTGTGGAAAGCATATTGTTCTTTAGAGCTACTTTAAGGGCACATTTAAAGCTGCATCAAATTAAAAGGATTTTCTTGACATAAATGTAACAAAAGAACAAGCTCTTGTTAGTTTGAAGTGCAGTTTAATGTCTCACCATTTGAATTTTTTTACTTATACACACTTTAAAACTTTACGATTGTTCACTGAAAGTGAGTTAAGGATATAACTTTGATTCCCTCATGCCGCCATGTTTTGCGAAGGAACTTAGCTGGTTTGCACTGAGGGAATAATTAAATGTTCGAATCTCGATGAGTTGAAAACTCGGTCGTTTCTTCTGCTTTGTTGTGTTCAGTGAAGCAGGTATCATCAGGCCTGCAGCTGCTTGTTCTGTTTCAAATAGGATGCTGGGAGTGTGGTTTTTCCAGATTGAAATTCAAGGGGTTATTCAAGAGTGAGGTTCACATCACATCCCGCATGAACCAATTCACATAACACAAGGAGACTATTTGGGGGATTATGGCTAATTGAAACAACTGTTTCATTCCTTTTGTATGGATCTGCCAGGTACAGTAGCCAAAGAGATGTTCTGAACATTAGTGTAGGATTTTTTTAAATATATTTTTTTGCTTTTACCCAAACTGCACTGCTGAGCTAATTCAGTCATGTTACAAGTCCTGCCAGCAACTAAACATTCATACAACGACCTTCATGGTTTTCCATGAACTCAGTCTTTATTGTCATCAGAGGTTTTTTTTTTCCAGGCTGTTATTTATCTGTAAAGAACATTGCTGAATAATTATGTGTACCATTTTTCATTTTAGATATTTTCAGTAACTAATATTCAGTTAAAGTTGTAATGTAGAATATAGCCAAAACATTAAAATGTTATTGAAGTTTGATGTTTTATTCATTTGTTGTGTGGCTGGCTTTACATTATAGTGATACTGTTTCCCTTTATTCTTGTAGTTCATTATAGTTTCTTTCTTATTTATTTATTCATTTATTTGTCTCAAACTGCTTTGAATCTTTTGCTGTTTTACATTATAAAAAAAAATCAAGCTCAATCAAGCTGTGTGCTATGACTTTTTTTTTTTCTTCAGAACTTGCATACAGGTATTTCAAAAATATTTAATAATTCTTAAATTTTCTCTATTACCGGTTGTTCAGTTCAGCTTAGTAGCTCCAAGTCAAAACAGAAGTCATCTCAAGGCACTGAACAGAAACATTCATATATAAAAATAATAATTGAACACTATTTCTCTGAGGAGCAGATGCTTTGAGTTTAACTCCATCACAGCACAAAGGCGACAGTGGAAAGGAAAAACTCCCCCATGAGGAAGAAACCTCCAGCAGAAGCAGGCTCGGGACAAGTGGCCACCTGCTTCCACCAGCTGGGTTCAAATACATAAAGATCTCTAACTCTTTTAAAATAGTTTTTTTGTAATTTGCTTATGTGCACTTGCAGTGTTTTTATTTATTTGCTATTTTTAGGTTTTAACTAGCATTTTGCTGCTTTAAGCTAATATTTTGCAACATTTAGCTCGTGTTTTTCTACTTGTAGCTATAGAATTGTGCTTTTTTTAATCCTTAAGATGGACTTCTATCCATTTTTGGTTTTAGCTGAAATGTTTTGCTTATAGCTTTTAGATAGTATTTTGCCACTTTTAGCTTTCAGCTTGTGTTCTGTTTCTTTTAGGTTTCACGTTTTGTAGGTTGTCCTGAAGCATGCTCAATAATTCAGTTACAAAGTTAAGTCAGGTCCTCTGGACGGATTCTTCTTGTTGAAACTTTCTGTCCAGAGGAACTGGCTTAACTTTGTTATTTTTATTTTTTACTTTTTGTGGCAAATTTCAGCAGTCATTCAGCAGTCAACATGCACACTGTATTTGTGGAAAAAATGTTTATTTCCCATGTTTTAAAACCAATTAACAACTGACATTTTAAATCACCTGTTACTTCTGTTGAATTTCCATCCATCCATCCATCCATCCATCCATCCATCCATCCATCCATCCATCCATCCA